TTTTTGTGTCGAAAAGAAACTGTTATTGCACACAAAAAGCATGTATGAGACTGCTTGAATAAATACACTCGACCACAAATTCAACTCAATCACGATCGTCTGGCCACTATAAAATATAAAGCAAGCAAGGCCTGCAAAAGTCCATTGCCGGAGAGCTGCAGCAACCAAATAAATACCTATGCCCGATCTGTATTAACTTCTGGTTTAGCACGACAATGTCCGATTCACCTCAGGACTCTATTAGAACTCAAGATAAAATTTTCTTCACCAGCTACAGTCGAAGTCAGCCTCCCAGCAGCCCATCCATTGTTCAGTACCCGGGCACTAGCAGCTGGGCTAGGATCACCCGTGTCACGGTCCTTTTATCTCTTTTCTCAATTTCCTCTCCTCGTGTCTCTCTTTCCTCAACCAACTCTCCACAGTTGTCATAAGTGACAAATTGCTTATCTCCTTGATTTTGTTCATAGGCATTGCTAGTTGCAATTTCCCGCGAGCCACATAAACAATATGAGATGGCCAATCCTCAAGCCCATCAAATATATGGGTGGCATAAATAATTGTAGAACCTCGTTCTAAGCATTCCTTCCTAAGAAACTATAGGAGGTCTGCTCTGGCGAGCACATCTAAGTTAACAGTGATCTTGTCAAGCAGGAGGACCTTGAATGGCTTTAGAAGACCCATACAGATTTGGACTCGTCTTCTTTGGCCATCAGATACTTTATGCATTCTCCAGGAGAGGTCAATGCCTAAAACCTTGATTAGTTCATCTCGCCTTTGAGGATTGATACCTGCTACTCCAAATATCATTTTCTCAGCAGAAACGTCCATCTGAATTGGAACCTCAAAACCAGCAAAAGCAACTTCACGCCTCCACTCACCACCAAGATAAGCAAGATCATAAGGCGGTGTCGTGGAACGCGGATCGCCCCATGACCCTCACCATATCTTGCTCAACCATGTGCTTTCCCCCAATTATTTTCAAAATTGTTGTTTTACCGGCGCCATTGGAACCCACAAGGAGGCAGCGATCGCCCGGGAAGAGTGTGAGGGACAAATCGTCGATCAAAGGAGTGGAACCCGGCGGTGGATGGCCGTCGATTCCAGGGTAGGTGAATCTGAGCTTCTTGATCTCGAGTGTTGGTTGAGGGTTGTCGTGCCCCGCCATTACTGAGACTATCTGTTTTCCTTCTTCTTGGCAGTTAGATCGAGATATAGAGAGAGGTGATTTATGGGAAGGTCTTCGTACTGTGAATGAGAGAGTTTGGTAGCGGCAATGGCGATGGCTTTCTCTCTCTGAGACGTGGCCATAGTTGCGACCCGTTCTTAGAGCATCCACAATGCTTTGGGTCTCTTTTTGTATATGTGGCAAATAAATAGACTTAAGTCCATAATGACATGGACAAACCTAAACTAAAAAAACCAAAATCTATCCAATGCAAAACAAAAAAGTACTAGGTCTAGAATACATGACAACCAATAAAAATGCTCTAGTATATTTCATTTATTAAAAGAAAAATTAAATGAGGAATAAATGATGAGTGTTTGGGTTTGTACTTGGGTCTAAAATAGACCCAAGTGTGGACTAGGTCTCATTTTTTTATTGCCACATAAGCTAGACTAGGTCCACTTTTAATTGCATTGGAGAACAATTTTTTATAGACTAGGTCTATTTCTTACATGGCATGTAACTTTTTTCTAAGAGACCCAAAGCATTGTGGGTGCTCTTACTTACTTGAGGGGAAAAATTCAATAGTAGTCCCACAGGTTTGGGGGGTGACACTTTTGGTCCCAACGAAATGGCAAAAATACCAATGGTCCCACAACTTTTAAAAAATAATCAAAAGTGGGACATTTTACGATTTTCCGGGCCGGAAATCCACACGTCGCTCACGTGGCATTTTATTTACACACTGTTTTTTTTTTTTTTTTTTTNNNNACGTGGACTGATTCAGCAGAATATAAAAGCCAAAAATTGGGAAAAATCGGGCAAAAAAAATTTGCCCCAAATCGTTCTTCCCCAATTCCCAAATCCCTCCAACATTAGAACCCTAATCCCCAAATTCCCCACGAAAGTTGTGTCGATCGAAATACAACTGAGCAAAAGATCAACGTAGAAACGGGCGTACTCAGATTCCTTCCCACAATTTCTAAAAATTTTTCAAAAATCTCAACCTTAATTGAAATATGTCTTTCGTCACCGGAGATGGGACATGCCATTGTGGTCGGAGGACGGTGATTCGGACATCATGGAAGGACACCAACCCTGGGCGGCGATTCGAGTCATGCTTGAATTATGAGGTGAGGTGTTAATTAGAATTGTTGGTTCATGTTCTTGGATTTTCTGGTTTATTGATTTCTAAATTTGACTCTTACAGCATGGAGGGTGTGATTACTTTGACTGGTTCGATCCTCCAATGTGTCGTAGGTCTAAAATGATAATTCCGGGCCTCTTGAGAAAGATGAATGAAAGGCAAACTGAGATTGAGAAGCTGAAACAGAAAAATGAAAAGTTGGTGGAGTTGAACAAAAAGTTGAAGAAGATAGTCTTCATTTTGGTTCTTTTGCTGGTGTTGGTTATTTTATCCAATTTCAAAGGTGCTAAGAACCCAAATGGAATGAATCAAGTGAAGATGCTTCAGTGACTGTGATGTGTTATGTTTAGATGTTGTTAGGATCTTTAATAGCATTTTGAATGCTTCAGTGACTTTGGTTGTTGGCATAGTGATGATGTTGGTGTTTGCATTTTGAATGGTAGGATGGTTAAGATGGTAGGATCATGTTAATGTTAAGCTACTTTTGTATGTTGTGTAATAGCATTTGTTAATGTAATATGTTGGTATATTGAATGACAAAAGCTGTTTTGGTGTCCTTATTTTCTAGCTGCTTTGTTTAATGCTGAAACTGTAAGAACATAAAAGGGCACAATAACCTGTTTATATTACTTGTTTACATAAAAGTAAACAAAATCCATGTAACATCCAAATAAAACCTGTTCATTCCAACAATCATTCCAAGAACCTGTTCTAACAAATCCAGCAACAAAATTCCAAGAAGCACATGAGAACAATTCATTCAAACAAAATCCATGTAACATCTACAAAATTCCAAGAACCACATGAGAACCAAAACAAATCCAACATTCAAACAAAATTCAAATAACATCTACACCAAAACCTGGTTGTCCACATTACTACCCAAAACACATCTAAGATAACATCCAATTGTTTCACAAACAAAACATGTCCAAAACAAATCTAAGTGAACATTCATTTTTTCACTTCTTTTTTCCCTTCCCTTTCTTCATTTGCACTCCAGTTTGGCTTTCTTGAGAGAGGTTCATGAACTTTTTCCCACCTTCCACCACAATTGACTTGGAGCTGTTGGGCTTGGTACTGAATAATGGTCTGCTATATCCTCCTGTGATTGGTGGGGGTGCCCTTATATTGATCCTAGTCTGCAGAGGGTTAGTCACAGGTGGCTGGTTTGAGGACATCTTCAGCTGCTCAAATGGAGAAGGACCTGGCTTCTGAGGCTGCACATACTGATATAGGTTGCTGTCTACCTGGCTTTCAATTGCTGCAATCAAATCCTGGTCTGAAATCACACTATCCATCAGATCCTCTTGGGTGGGTGGTAAAATCTTTGGGTTTGTATTTTTCTTCTCTTGTTGTGCATTAAATGAATTCTCCACACCTCTTTTGGTAACCTAAAAAATATAAATAGTTATAGAGAATCTGGTTGTTAATGAGGAAACAAAATACATAATAAAAAATAAGAAAATATACTTGTGGCTGAGGCTGGTCATGTTCATAGGAGTCCATCTCAGTATAGTTATCAATTGCTGCCATCAACTCCTCATCTGAGATCACACTATTCATCAAATCATCTGTTGTGGGTGGTAAAATATTGGCATTTGCAAGAACATCCTGTTGTTGCTGTGGTGCATCACAAGACTTTCCAACCCCATCTGTGTTTTTCTTAGTAACCTAGCAATGTTGATAAGGAGCAATTAATTAAAAGATATATTTTGTTAGAAAAATATGTCATTTTACCTTTAACTTCTCCCTCCTGATAGGGATATTGACATTGGCATTTGTTTCATGTTGCTGTGGTGCATCTTCTATGGTTTGTACAGTGACCTATACAATATACATAAGCATAAGAAGTTTCTTAGAATGACCAATGTATTAAAAATACATGATTCTGTTAAGAAAATAAAAGAAATGTAAGGACAAATTTAAATTTACCTTGCATCTGAGAGCATTGTGACCTGCTTCATGGCATTTAAAACACCTCAAAGTTGTTTGTTGTTTCTTAAGCTTGTATGGACAAGTTGACCTCTTCCTTTTACCCCTCGGTTCATCAGGTTCTCTTCTTCTCAAAGAAGTTGGTCTGCCTCTGCCTTTTTTCTTACCAGGCATGGGGGGTAAGGGAGGAACATAAGAAGTCTGCCCCCATACAGATTGACCACTCATTGGCATGATTGCATTCTCATATGCCATTCTGTAGGACTCTACTGAGTAGAAAGGGCTCACAAAGTCAACTGGGTCTTCTTTTTGGTTGATAATGGCTCTAAGAGCATGTGAGCAAGGTATACCACTCAACTCCCATGCCCTACATGTACATGTTCTTTTGTCAAGAACCACAGCATACTGTTCTCCAGCAGGGCAAGAAATTTGATAATTGTTATCATCTGCCTTAATAGGAATGCACTCAGCCATCTTCTCAACATGTTTGTCCAAGATCTTTTGAATCTTAGGACACAATTTTCCATGCTATTTTTTAGCTGCTCTGTCCCTATTCTTTTGGAGTCTTACCATCAGATACTCTCTAATCCATTCCAGCAAAGTGATGATGGGCTTGTCTCTTGCCTCAAGGATGTTTGAATTGAAAGACTCACAGACATTGTTAAGAACCATATCACATTTTGGGACACCTGAGAAGTGTGATTTTGACCACTCACTTGGTGCTTTATCATGAAACCATGCCCATGCATCTGGACTGAGATTTTTCATTTCCATCATCCTCCTCTTAAATTCCCCAACTGTAGTAGCCTGTGCAGCACTCCACAATGCTAACTTAAAACTTAATCCCCTGAAACCTGCATTCTTGAAGTTGCAGTGTAGGTGTCTAACACAAAACCTATGAGGACTATTTGGAAACACCTCTTTGAAAGCCTGTATTAAACCCTTTTGTTTGTCACTCATGAAGGTCATTTGCTCATCAACATCAATCTCTAGGTCTGACTTAAGTATGGTTAAAAACCATGACCAAGTCTCTCTTGTTTCTCCACTGACAATGGCATAAGCTATGGGGTATAAATTGTTGTTGGGGTCAACACCCACTGCAGTCAGCAAGATACCTAGATTATGTCCCTTTAAGTGACAACCATCTACACCAGTTATGGGCCTACATCCCATTTTGAATCCCCTTTTCAATGCATTAAAACAACAATAGAACTTACTGAATCTGGTTTCACCATTTGAAGTCACAGTGTCAAGGATGACAGTGCTTCCATGATTGGTCTTCCTCAGCTCATCAGAATATTCCCATAACTTAAAGAATTGCACAGAAGGATCACCTTGTATCACTTTCAAAGTTCTTCTCTTGGCCCTGTATGCTTGTTGCCTGGACACATCAACCCCAAGTTTTTTAATCACTTCAGCCCTCCACCCTTTGGTTGTCCTCTTAGGATCAGTCTCAAAAGTTTCAAGATACTTTTCACTCAACCATCTACTTTTTAAATTCTTCACAATGAAATCTGGTTGACAATTGTGATTAGGGAAGTATGTAGAAATTATGAAAGCCTGGTCATCTGCTTTCTTAAGGGCATTTATTCTCCATTGCACCTCTCAACCTTACACTCAACATATACCCTTCTATTGTCATTCTTTGTAAACTTCAAGTTTCTTTTTGTGGTAATAGCATGAGACTGAATTGCCTTCTTAAATTCTGCCTTAGTAGCAAAAACCATGCCTAATTCAAATGTTGGATTGAAAATAAGTGCAGGGTTGAAAACAGGCTCACTTGGCTCACACTCTTCATCAGACACCCTATACTCATCTAGTTGAGGGCTATCAATAACCACATCATCTTCCTCATCATCATTATCTGACTGATTCACATCTGTCCCTATATCATCATTATCTGAATGATTCACATCTT